CTTCTTTTTCTTCTTCTCCTCCTTCTTCCTCCTCTTCCTCTTATTCCTCCTTCTCTTTCTTCTATTCCTCCTCCTTCTTCTTTCTGTTCCTCCTCCTCCTCCTCCTTGTTGTTCTTCTCCTTCAGATTCCAAGATGCAGGCAGTCATCCCAATATGGTGACTCACCAGCAATTGGGTAGGCTGGCTGGCCATTTCATTGTCTATATTTTGCTTGATCTATTAATTTGTTGTGTCAGATTGATTTTATTTCCAGGGTACATATCCCTCCCCTTTCTTCCAATTACCTGAGTTTTAATTTAATTTCTCTGAGTAGCTCTGAAGGAGACATATATTCAGCCATGTTGCCTCTCCACTTGGGTAACAGATATATAACTGCTATATATAGATACATCTCTCTCTGTCTCTCTCTCTATAATACATATATTATAGATATGTATCTATATCTTTTGCACCAACAAATTATCTATAGAAAATTTCATTTTTCATCATTTTTATTAAGAAATGTCTTTCTTAGGGCCAGCCAAATAACTCAGGAAATTAAAGCACCTGTGAGCAGGCCCAGGGGCTGGGGGCTCAATCCACCAGCCTGTCGTGTGGTCCCTGCCCCAGGGGCACACTGAGATGGCAATTGAGAGTGGGCATGGTGGCATGTGCCTGCAATCCCAGTTCATGGGAGGCTGTAAACAAGCAGATCACTAGAGTCTGATCTAGTAGTGAGAGCCTGAACGCCCTGTAGATCGTTCCCTAAAATACAAAAAAAGAGACAGAGAGAGACAGAGAGAGAGAGAGACAGAGAGAGAGAAGAGAGAGAGAGAGAGAGAGAGAGAGAGAGAGAGAGAGAGAAATGTCTGTTTTAATGAAGACAAGATATTGTATGTATTATGTTTAAGATCAAGAGTAATAAAAATTCCTAATAAAAAAGATGATTCTACATTTTTCCAACCAGTGCACTAATGCAAGAAGCATTGTCTTCTATATACTATCCATGAAACTTACATGGAGATAGTTGAGTATTTTAAGTGAATAACAAAAATATTAAAAGTCTATACTTCATATAATTTTGCCCACAGTCCACAGAAAATACTTTACTGAGACTTCTTTTACTCTCCCAATGGTACAACTTGCTTCCATTTCTTTTCAAGTCAAACTTGTCAAAAAAATCTTTCTGTAATTCTGTCTTGACATTTATTTATTTATTTATTTATTTATTTATTTATTTATTTATTTGATGCCAGGAGTCAAACTCAGGACCTTATGCTTGCCGGGCAGGTGCTGTGCTACAGCTATATCCCTGGCCCTTCTATTCTCTTTTAATCATGAAAGTATAATAACACTTCTCTTTAGCCTATCTGTATAATGTTTCCTATTATGAAAACATAACAGGAATATTAGATTCAAAATTGCAACTGCTATCCACCCTCTACAAATTTTTATCATGTATTACATCATAAATTCTAGTTAAATATTGATCTCTCAGTTGAACTTTTAGTGCATACCATAGATGTTTGCAAATCATGGGAATATGTTCAACCTTTCTAGATAGATAGATAGATAGATAGATAGATAGATAGATAGATAGATAGAATATAGAGATAAAAAGACTACCTCATTTCTTCCTGGGAGAAGATGCTATAAGCAAGTTTTTCAAACTTGTATCAAAAGTAAAAATGGAAATCCATATATCACCTACTTGAGTAGTTAAAAATCATATTTATGTAAAGAGTATACTCATGTAAAAAGTCATACTCATGTAAAGAGTATGACACTAAGAAACTGTATAGGATATCTATCTTAACTAATATACCAATATAAAAATGAAACAACGACCATTTGTAGAACTATTTTAAGTTATAACTGATGTTTGGAAATCACCAAAAACAAAAGAATCAATTTGCTTTGTGAATCTGAGTGTTGTGTAGGTCATCTAGTAAGGTCTCAGTAAATAATAAAATATAGGCTTTATAAATCCATAAGCCATATATTTATAAAATCAAAATTGCTTTTTTATCTAGTAAAATAATTTATCATACTATACTTAACTAAAAGCAGCCTTTCATTGATTTGAATTCTGATTTAGATCATTTTTATGACTGTTTCCATTTTCAGATCATTGCTGAGTTATTTTCTGAATCTGAGGATGTTTGAAAGAAAGAGAAAGAGAAGCAGAGAGAAGAAACTTGGCTTTTCACAGTGAATACTGCTTTCCTTTCTTTGCTGTTAGTTTTGAAATTAATGATGTGATGCGATTCGATTTCTTTGGTAACGTGCTGTTTTTAAAATTTTTTGGTTGTTCACATTTAAGCTTGGAAAATAAAGGTGAGGGTAAAGTGGGTGAGATCCGAAGGCATTTCGTGCCCAGGGCAGAGTGGGAAGGTCTACACAGTGATGAAGAAGCAGGGATGTGGCAGACTGGCACTATATGGATGAGTGTTTCTTCATTTTCAGTGCTGGTCAAACTCAGACTCCATTACCAGGAAAATGAGGCCTCCTTTGAAATAAGTGAGTGCTCTCTTTACGTTATAAATTTAAGTGACAATGCTGTTAGACACAAAAGTTTCAGTTAGCTATATCCTTCATGAATCCTGTTTTTAAAATCATCGTTACTGAAAACTCAAGCTGTGAGACAAGGTGAAACTACAAAGCAGTGAAAGAGAATCTATCTTTATTTGCATTTTTACCAAATGAGAACTTAGCTATGCTTCATAATCATCTATAAACTATTTCAACTGGTAGAGCAACTATAATCACTTAGGTAGAGTTTGGCATAAAAGTTGAAAAAGACAAAGGTTTCACCAGAACAGCTGTTTTCTTATTGATTGTCAAATCTTGGAGATTTTTGGCTTAGCATCAGACCAATGATTAAAGAAGGCACAAGAGGAATATGAAGAGGAAAAACTTGACTGTACACTGAAAAATGTTCATGACATTTTTAATCAGAAGACAACCATCTGTGATATTTGACTCCAAATCTTCTCAGTGTGGACATGGAAAGTGGTGTGCAAAGTTTCTTCACCTTCATAATTGTTGTGCAGTTCATAATTGGGAATTTGAGCAATGGATTTATAGTACTGATAAATTTCATTGTCTGGGTCAATAAAAGAAAGCTTTCCTCAGTAGATCAAATCCTCATGTTATTGGCAATTTCCAGAATTGGACTCATCTGGGAAATATTAGTAAGTTGGTTTCAATCTGCGTATTTATTTCCACAGCAGCAACAACTACTAGAATTTAGTGTTTATTCATGGATTTTATTAAATCATTTTAGTCTCTGGCTAGCTACAGTCCTCAGCATCTTTTATTTGCTCAAAATAGCCAGTTTCTCCAGTCCTATTTTTCTCTATCTGAAGTGGAGAGTAAAAAAAGTAATTCTAATAATACTTCTAGGAAGCTTAGTACTCTTGTTTTTAAATGGGATGCAAATAAGCATAAAGTTTGAAGACTGGAAACATGGATATGAAAGAAACACAACTTGGAATTTCACAGCGAGGGAAAATATAATGGTAGCAAAGCTCATCCTATTCAACATGACCATGTTCTCCCTCACACCATATATTCTGACCTTGATTTTTTCTCTGCTGCTAATCAGCTCCTTATGGAAACATCTCCAGAAGATGAAGCTCAATTCCAAACAACACAGAGATCCCAAAACTGAAGCCCATATCAATGCCTTGAAAATTGTGGTCTCTTTCCTCCTACTGTACACTTCTTACTTTCTGTCTCTCCTCGTATCATGGCTTTCTTATATACATAATATTGAATTGATTCAGCTATTTTCTGCAACCACTGGACTCATCTATCCTTCAAGCCATTCACTTGTCCTAATTCTGGGAAACTCCAAGTTAAGGCAGGCCTTTCTTTGCATATTGAAAGTGTGGGACAAAAGATGAGAGGCTCACTGCTGCATAAGCCATCCATACTATAACTACTTGATGTTTTACACAATACAGAAGGTATCTATCTTTATTTGAATTTTTACCAAATACGAGTTTAGTTATGCTTGGTAATCATCTAGGAACCATTTCAACTGGTGGAGCAATTAGAATTACTTATGTAGGGTTTGGCATAAAAGTTGAATAATTTATTATTTCGCTCTGTTTCTTCCATTGTGAAAGTCGTTGTAAATTTTCAATCAAAGAACCTAAGAACATTACATATTTATGAAGCTCATTTCTACACTATGGACAATTTCAAACTTATTAGTTCATTACAATGAGCTAAGAGAAACTAGTAGTATAAATGAAATGTATTAGAATATATAGAAAAATATTTTTGAAACAGCAGAAGAGGTAATTTAGAAAACACAGCTATACAGCTCATTTACTATTGTTATCCTCTTGTGAAACATTTTATTTTACATACATTAAAAATAAAAAAATACTATTGAGATATAATTTACAAGTACATATGGTAAAATGCAACATTTTTCTTGTGTGTTTGTTAGAGTTTTGATAATACGTTTAATTATGTGATCAAGTAATGAACATTCTTTGCAGTCCATTCTTCCCTTTATCATCCTTTGCACGCAAGCAACTAGTTCTTATTTCTGTTAGCAACAGAGAATTCTTTGATTTATAGCATTTTATATTTATATGAAATATACATAGTGGTATAAATATGTGTATATGCATAGATTGTGCACTGTCAGCTACAAGGCTTCTTGAACTCAGCATTGTGTTTTCAGTTTTATTTATTTTGTTGTCTACAGTAGTAATTTGTTACTGAATTATATGCTTCAATAGTATTCCTAAATGCTATTGGATGTACAGCATCTAAAACTCCATTTATGAAAAAAAAATCATTTTAAACTTTTGTGGGGCCTGCTGGTTAGCTCAGTTGTTTAAGCGCCTGCTCATGCAAATGCAATCAGGTGCAGGATAGGGCAATACAATTCAAACCTCCACCTGCCTCATCAAAGAAAGAAGAAAGAAAGAAAGAAAGAAAGAAAGAAAGAAAGAAAGAAAGAAAGAAAGAAAGAAAGAAGAAAGAAAGAAAGATCATTCTGCAAATCCATTTATGAATATTTGAATAGCTCCAAATTATTGGCCTTTATGAATAAAACTGATATCAATATTCATGTGTGTATTTTTCTGATACATAATTTTATTGCTACTGCCAAAACAAGATGTCAAAGAATATGGCCAGTAGATGGCTAACTTCATTAAAATTTGCCAAAGGAATTCTCCAAGGTGTTTGTTCCATTTTGCATTCCAACCAGCAATGTATGAGAGTTTCAGGTACTCCACATCCTGCGCAAATGGTGGTACTTTTATTGGGGTTTTTTTTAGCCTACATGGGCTTAAGTCAGTGAGTAACACTATCTTCTTGTGTTTTTAATTCTCATTTTTCTGTCAACCAATGACATTAATCATTTTTTATGTGCTCTGGCATTTTTCAGCTTTTTATGACTGGATTAATTGTTCACTTTTAGCTCATTGCACTTTCATTTTCCTATTGAGTTGTAATTATTCTTTATATGCTTCAGATAGATATGTGTACTTTATCAGACATGTGTTTTATAAATGGCCAAGCAGGGGTGTGATATCTCATCATTTTCAGTGTGTTTTGTACAGAATTTTTTTGTTTATTTTAGAAGCAGTATAGTAAATTGCAGATATTATGTTTAAGAATATGACCCATTTCAAAGTTCTATTTGAAATAGGAGGTTAGGACTGAAGTTCATTTATAAAATTCAAGCATCCATTTATTTTCTAGAACATCTTTAAAAAGATAATCATTCTTCTTTGTTTGAACTTGGCACTCTGTTAAGAACCAACTAACTGTATGGGAATAGCCAATTTTGAGGATATGTATTCTATTCCTTTGATCTGTATGGCTATCTTTACATTAATAATACACTCTTTTGACTATTGTAGTTTAATGCTATATCTTGAGAGACAAAAGCCCTCCAACTTCATTTGGTTGGTTTTTTTTTTTTTCTGTTTTTCTGGTTCCTTGAGTCATGCATACACATTTTAGATTTAATTCAATGGTTTCTTCAATAAAGCTTCCTAAAATATTAATTGACATTGTATTGAATGTATAGTTGCATATTTGGAGTATCTGACCCATTAATAGTATAAAGTCTCTCAACATAGGATCATGGCTAACTTTTCATTTACTAGAGTCTGTTGTAGCTTGCTTGCTTGCTTGCTTTTTTTTTCAAAACAAGGGATTGAACTCAGGCTCTTGCACTGGCCAGGCAAGGGCTTATTCTACTGAGCTATCTCCCCAGCCCGTGTTGTAGCTTTCAATGTGCAAGTTTTAGCCATATTTTGTTAAGCTCTCATATTTCTGTGAAAAAAATTACCAACCCAGGAAAAACATGACCTTTTACCGTGTCATTATGTTCTGTGATATGTTTCTTTTTCTTTGTCATTTTCTTTTCCATGAAAATGTGTATGAGTGGTGCATACACATTTTATGTGTATGTAGGACTCCACTCCCATAGCACTGGGGATGAAACTCAGAGTCTTCACACTGAACTACTCATAATGGAAAAATTATGAGTAAATGGATAAAAATGAATAAATTTTAGGGACAGAATGGTATTATAAAACTGTAAAAGAAATCCTATCTTCATTTTGCATGTTACCAAATGGACATGCAAATTCTGGGACAAAGCTTTATATGCAGACTATAAATATGACAGTAACACCATAGAGTACAATACAATCCTTGAAAACACATTAACTGATTTTTTAAGAACAATTGTTGTACATTCTATAAAGTGAGAACTTGTTTGTGAACTTGCTTTCGAAATTTTCCAGACTCTTCCAATACCATCAATAGAAGAGAAAGCAGACACTCATTGGATGATACAGCTTTGGATTAAAAAATCTACACCAGGTTAGCTAGAATCAGCTAGCAGTGAACTGAAGGCAAAGATTCTCTATAAACAGAAATGTCAAGCTCATTGGAGACATTGTCTATGATCACTTCTACTGTGCAATTCATAGTGGGGATTTTTGGAAATGGATTCATTGTACTGATAAACGGCATTGACTGGGTCAGTAAAAAGAAGACTTCCTTGTTTGATTTTATTCTCCTGTGCTTGGCGAGCTCTAGGATACATTTTCTTTGTGCAACACTTGCATCTGTCATATTCAATTTAATATATAAGGAACTATTTTTCTCTAAGAAGGTACTAATGTGTCTTGCCATATTCTGGACAGAATCCAACTACTCCTGCACAGCCTCCACTACCTGCCTCACTGTCTTCTATTTCTTCAAGATAGCAAATTTCTCTAGCCCTATTTTCCTCTGGGTGAAACAGAGGATGCATAATGTTCTTCTTATTGTAGTTGTGGGGACAATACTTTCTTTCTGCGTGAGTGTCACCTTCATTGATGCATTCACAGATATGTCAATACAGTATTGGGCACATAGGAAACAGAACTCCACCTGTTGTTATACAAAGAGTCGTTACAATTTCTTAATTTATTTTTCTCTTCTTCACATGATTCTCCTTATTCTTTTTGTAGTGTCACTGTCCTCCTTCTTACTTTTACTCTTTTCCTTATGGATCCACAGCAAGCGAATGAAACTACAGGGCCTGTATTCTACGGATTCAAGCAAGGAGGCTCATATAAGAGCTATGAAAGCCATGATTGCATCACTGCTTCTTTTCATTACGCAGTTTGGCAGCAATGTTCTGATAATGTTAGCATACACTATTGACTGTGCGGTGGCAAAGGCTTTGGCTCATTTGCTAATATTTTTGTATCCATCTTTTCATCCATTTCTTTTGATTTTGTGGAACAACAAATTGAAGCAAGCTTCTCTCTGCATGCTGAGGAAGCTCAAGTATGTCAAATATAACCCCTCTAAGGAAGGAACATGATATGACTGATGATGCTTTGAAAAAACAAAGACGAGGAAAAAAAGGACTTCACATTTGTCCCTCTAGGAACCTTTTCCTATCCTGTTGTCTTCTATGATATATTTGTTTCTTCTCTTTTTTTTTTCTTCTTCCTCTCTTTCTTTCTTTTTTTCTTTTTTTTTCTCTTTTCTGTCTCTATTCCACCACCAAAGCACTGGGAATGGCCTCAGGGTCTTCACATTGAACTACATCCACAGTTCTTTTTGCATATTTAGATTTTTTTTTTTTGAACCAGGGATTGAACTCAGGCTCTTGTGCTTGCCAGGGAAGTGCTTATTCCGCTGAGCCATCTCCCCAGCCCCTTTTTGCATATTTTGAAACAAGCTCTCATTAAGTCACTAAATTTCTGAGGCTGAACTCAAACTGGAAATCCTCCTGCCTCAGTCTCCAGTAGGATTTCAAGCATGTGTCACTAGGTTTGGAAGGTCATATGCTGTTCAACATTACTGAAAATACCTGCTTGATTTTAACTGGCAGAAAAAAATTACTATTTCGTATTTTAGATAAGCAATATAAAATGTGGTATTACATTTGTACATTTTATTCATCAGTTGCATAGAAGCTAAAATGGGATAGAATTAAAATACCTGATGGATAGTGTATTAATATTTGTGTGTGTTAATATATGTACATAAACAGAGTTATAGGCATAAAATGTAAACATTTACAACCTAAATAATCTTTAAAATGATCATAATCTTTAAAGAAAAAGTCAAATCAAAATAGAATAAAATATAGTTTAACCAATCCTTTGAAAGTATGAAAATAAAGTAAACTTTGCTATTCAGACAGATAGTGAGGTTAAGCTCAACTGCCTATTTAGTAGGGCAATAATAATAAGTTTTTCTTCTGGAGGGTTAACAACCTAAGTTTGCAGGCCAAAAATTAGAGAAAAAGAAGGGCTGCAAGGACAGCCAACATTTTGGCCCTAGCCTTTCAAGGTCAGCGAAGACTCAGGACATAGGAGAACCTGTACTATAACATCATGTGCCTCAGTTGTGTCCCAAA